TATAAAATCACATTTTCCAAGGAAACCTGCTCGCCGCAGCCCAAAGTCGATCAAACCAGCCAAGCCGATGACTTGATAGAGGAATTCTCGCGGCAAACAATTTGGTGAGAACATTTCGATTTTGCGCGCATGCTTAAATGATGGCTTTTCTTCTGTTGTTAGGTTATTACTAGGCAAGATTTACCGAAGCAAGAGGACATCTGCGGGAATTTCAAAAAGTACGGGTGCGACGACTACGCGAGTACGCTTGAGACTGACAAAGGCTCACAGATATATTGGCCCCAACCGCCATTTTCCGTTGATATAAAACTTCACATTCCACTAAAGACTGAGTTGATTCCCGGGTTTCAGGTGAGCAAAGCTTTATACCTCGAATTAAGGTATCCTTCCCATCTTAACTTTTTCAAATCGTTCCAGATTTCCATGGAGAATCTGCAACATATCTCCACTTCTACTTCTTTAAAATCATGCCTTTGATATTACCATCGACATTAGTTATCTATGCATTCACCCTTCTCGTTGCTACTGCCTGATGTACTAAACTATTTTTTCATGCATGTAACATTTCCGATTCCCGCGTACATTAGCTTCTGGATATATTACTCTTCGTTTCTTTGGTGCATTTTATTTTCGTTTTATATCTTCACGTTGTCCTTTCTACCGCAAGAGTGTCAGCCTAGAGCAGAGTAGACAGTGAAACATACCCTTTGGGGATTCGGATCTTAGTAGGGAGGCACTGTCGAAACCATCCAAATTCGAATGATATTCATGTTTGGATGGATGCCTGGCCAAGATGGAAGTTATGCGGGCGTCATTGCATGCAAAATATGTTATCATTGTCGCAGATACTTTGGGTGCTTTTGAGCAAGAGGATTGGTTTTAGGTCGAAAGAAGAGGGTGGGTCATATTATATAGTTTGGCTCATAAATGGAAAGTTGAATAATGAAAATCGAGAGCTTGCAGATTAGTAGTAGGCTTTTCAATCAATTCAATCAATAATATTGGCAACCCTCAGAAAGCAGGAAGTTTTGAAAGGGATAAAGTGGAGATAACTTTTTAGGTATTTCTTTGGGCTTGATGAACCAGTTCAATTCCTTTTGCTCGGCCAGCATATTCGGTGGATCAAACAGCTTCACGAATGCTGATCAAGTAAGGGCCAGAGTCTGCTGAAGGACGACCAGAACAAGAATCTGTCGAAAGTATTGGGTACCGTAAATAGAATGGTCAAGCGCCAATGCGGAAACCAACGAGTATATATAAGTACAAGCATCCTCGAAGCAACGGCACCACCGATGTTGGGTTTTGTGGCATACAAAGCACATCCCCCAGTAAAGCGTAACCGATTTACGTTGAAACTTACGAAACCTATCCCGCACACAAATCACATTCAGGAGCTGTACAAATACACAAGTTTCTTTTTTTTCTCGCAACTAATCGTCCTCAGTTGAGGATTAAAAACCATACGGGTAAATATCCAAAAAAAAAACCCTTTTTCTTGCGTCCCAAATTTCCGTGGGAAACTTTTTTTCCCTACATCTAATTATTCACCTAAAGAATCTTTTTTGGAACGTGGGTCAGAGAACAAAAGAACTTTTTTTTTTACTCGAAACTCCCTCCCCTCCCCAAAACCTCTTGGTATCAACTACTTTTTCGTTAAAAAAAAAAAAGATAAAAGTCGATGGTTTGCAACCCAAGCCTGCAACCAATATATATTTGCTACCACAAGTTACCATTTGTTGTGGAATAGATATACGCTATACAGTCTCCTCAAAAACCGGCATGTGTTGCTTGTTTTGGTCAAAAGACTTGCGATATTCGCCGCCGCCGGAAAAACTCATTTGGAAAATACATGTGTCTTTTTATTCACATCCCACAAATCACCATCATACATCCCCTTCATCCTCATCCCGGGTCCATAATGCGACAGAATGTAAGAATAAAAACCACCCAGCATATAATTAAAACCATAGAAAGAAAACAAAAAGAAACAGAAAAAAAAACATCAAATGCGTGCACAACAATCATCCTTAGTCAATGGGGGGTATGCATAAAAAAAAACCAAACAATTAATGCCGTCCAGCCTCATACATTTGCGTAATCTTGGGCTTAAACCGGTCAACCAATTCCCCTCTACGCAACTTTTGCGCCGCAGTCAGGAACCCATTCTCCGGGGTCCAAATCTCCGGGTCCAAAGTCACATTGCCGACAATTTCAGCCGGTTTAAATCCAGCCCGTTTCGCGGCATCTTTCAGTCCGGATAGGACTGCTTTGCGGATTTTAGGGTGATCGCAGAGATGGACGAGGTCAGGTGAGTGGGTTCCGTCAACGAGAGACAGGGATTCAGCGAGAGAAATGATTTCCTTTTCGATGGGGTTGACGATGGCGACCGCAAAGGATTGTTCCGAGTCGGCGTAGACGCAGATATTGTGGACGTAGGAACAAGTCTTGTATTGGGACTCTAGTTTTTCGAGAGCAATGTATTCGCCGTGAGCGAGTTTGACGAGATTTTTCTTGCGGTCAATGATGGCGAGGGAGCCGTCGGGGTAGAATTCGCCAATGTCGCCGGTTTTGAGCCATCCGTCGGCCGACATGGTTTCGGCGGTGGAGGTTGGGTTCTTGTAGTAGCCCTTCATGACGGTAGGGCCGCGGAGCCAGACTTCGCCTTGGGGGCGGGGAATGTTGGTAGGGGCATAGCGGGTGTCTTCGACGGCGACGAGCATGACTTCAATGGCAATGGTGGGGGGACCGACCCGGCCGAGGACGCCGGCGTCGGCGGGGAGTTGAATGACGGAGGCCGCACAGGTTTCCGTCATGCCGTAGCCTTGGACGACGGGGCAGACGCAGGATGTCATAAACTTTTGAGTTTCCTTGGGCATGGGGGCACCACCCGACAAAGCAAAGCGGAGCCGGCCACCGGTTTGATCACGAATGGGTTTAAAGACGGTATTGTCGAGGAGGGTGGTGGGAAGACCGAGCTGGACGAGTTTCCACTTGAGAGCCGAGGCGTAGCCAAAGATGCGCTGCTGCAAAGGGCTGGCAGCCTTGAGTTTGGTGGCGACGCCTTTACGGATCGTTTCCCAGACGGCGGGGACACCCGTCAGGAGCGTGGGTCGCAATTCACGCAAATCACCCTTGCAGTTGCGGACAGAGGCGTCAGTGAGGGTTCGTGGGGTACCGAAACCCATGGGGATGCCCTCACACAAGCACAGTTGCTCAACAACGCACTCGAAAATGTGGGCGAGCGGGAGGTAGGCGAGGTACCACTCTTCAGCGGCTCGAAGGACCGTGTCGGTAATGCCCTTGGCGGCGGCAATGGCGGCAACAATATTAGCGTGCGAGAGCATGACACCCTTGGGGGCACCCGTGGATCCCGAAGTGTACATGATGCAGCAGAGATCTTCTTCTTTGGGAGGGACGGGGGCAGCGTGGTGCTCCTTGCCGAGCTGTTCAACTTCCTTCAAAGTCAAGACTTGCAAGTGCGCGTGACTACTCTTTAAACTGGCGAGAGTCTCGGCGTTGGCTTCGCCATTGTAAATGACGCGCTTGAGAGTAGGGACTTTGGGGGCTACACGGGTAATCATTTTGAGCAAGTCGGCATTGGTAAAGATGGTTTCAATCTCGCACTCGTTGAGCGAGTACTCGAGGCCGTCTTCACCGAGGGTATCATAGGCGGTTGTGATGGTGAGGGATTGAGACCAGGAAGCGTGAGCGACGAGTTGCCAGTCGCGGGAAGTGGCGGCAAAGAGAGTCAGTTTGTCGCCGGGCTTGACGCCAATGTGGCGAAGACCGGATCCAATATTCAAAGTAGCCTCACGGGCCTCGCGAAAGGTGATCCACTTGTATTCCGACAATTCGTAAAAGTTCCAAGTTTTCTTTTCCTTGATGGTTTCTCCGTCGACCAGTTTGGTAATTTCCTTTTCTTCCGAGACGGTACGGACAATTTCACGGATGCCCATGCATTTGCGGTCAGGGTTGCGTTTGACCGAGTGGCCGAGGACATCGTAGAGGGTGCGCATGTCGGGGAAGGGACGTTCGGCGAGGGCATCGGATTTGGTAATGTTGCGGCGGGCTTTACTGCGGGGTAATTTCTCGGCGTTGGCGGCGGCATTGTCCGAGTCGGAGGAAGTCACTTCGACCGCGCGGGGGGAGCCCATCCGTGTGCGAAAGAGGTACATTGGAACGACAAAGGATAGCGTCAGCCAGGCTACTGTCGTCACTGCCAGACTCATTCTTGATCCCGGTACTACTCACTCTCTCGATGCTGGGAGCCTAGAAATCTTGGGGTTAGTTAGCTCATCTCCATCATCTTGGGTTGGTGCATTTACCTTTTTTTTTCTGAGCAATTACTTCCACGCACACGCACAGAAAGAATGCCGGCTAGAGTTGCCGCGACGGGAGGGGGGTAAGGATGAGATGCCGTGGTGGGGGGCGGGGGGGGGGATGGCGATGGGGAAGGCCCTCTTATATATGGTGGAAAAGCCGCGAAACGGGGTTCTTGGTAGGTGGCTGCGCAATGAGTGATTGTTGGGGTGGTAACGGTCATTTGCCCGATATGGAATGGATCCGTGGCACTGGCTCAGCCAAGCCGCGCGTGCGTTTTTTTGTGTGTGGTGTATTTTCAAGAGATGGTTTTTTGCGGTAGGAGCGGGGAAGCCGCAGTCTTTTCCTGAGGAAAGTTCCTATGGTTAAAGTTTCCTTCATCTTCCCAAAGCGGACAATACAGCAATCTATCCCCAACAAGATCGCTAAGGAAAGAAGCCACTATGGCGAATGGGAACAGATCTGTTTTGAAAGGCTTGCCATTGCAGGCAAGGCGCGGCAAAAAGCCCCAATGTATCGTCGATAAAAGCAGAAAGATTTGCAAAGAGCAAAAAAAGTGCAAGAGAGCAGCAAAAAGAAGGATCCAAGGGGGATGAATGCTCGGGCCGAGTGGGACAAGCTGTCTTGCTTGGCCAACTGTTGGGAGGGTACCGCAACAAAAAATAAAAAAGATATTCGGATGCCCCCAACCCGGATTGAACGGGTGACCTTTAGATCTTCAGTCTAACGCTCTCCCAACTGAGCTATAGAGGCATGCTTTCGATGAGTTTGTTGGTTTCAGTGGTGGTTATATAGCTGCCATGTCTTTCGCAGATCGAAGGAAATCTCCCAGGGGCCATCTCTCCGCGCGCGCCAGTAGACACAACACACGCTCTATCTACCGCTGCCCCGCCATCTGAGGCATGCATATACTCCTCGAGTCAATCATCACTCGAGTGCTTGCTGTGCTCGCTCGGGATAGATCTCCCCAGCCCCTGCCCAAAGCACTATATATGTAACCAGTCACACGAGCAAGTGGGAATCTGTAACACATCTCGTGGAAATCTCATGGAAACAGATTTCAGAGAGAGTGATGTGCGGGTGTATCTCATTTTAATAGTGGCTGTTTGGTGGAGTGATATACTATGGCATCTCTTTGTCTTTCCTTCCTTTACTTCGTACTTGAGTAAGTACTCGAGTAATTATAGACATTGCGAGTATCTTTTTCCTAAAGATCTATACACATTGTCTTATAGTCTGAACCTGAAGAGTACTCGAATATTAATATAGAAAAAGTTGAAACAGTGGAAAGCGCCCGAATTATCGAAAGAGCGCCGATATCTCACGCTGCTGCAAGAAAACAGCGGCTCGCGTGGGGGGTTCCAACAACCTCACGTTTTCCGCCGCAATATTCCTGCCGCCGCTGGCCTGAGGCATTTCACACTTTTTGAAGTCAAAAAGACAATTGCATCCCCCAAACCTCATAATACCTTTTGGACAATACCTTCGGACGACAATTAGTAGTACACAGTGACAGGGTGAGTTTTTAGGGTGAGGCAAAGTCAAAAGATATTCACACCTAAAACCAGCTTTAGAACACACTCTTAGCGAGGTTTTTAGAACACTGTAGGGAAGAATATAGAAAGAAAGCACTACAGAGTTGAACAGAAATGACAGTCGACATTATGCCCCATGAACAGGCTCCTAGTACCACCTCATCACCCCCTTTAACACCATCGACATCGACAAAAGAACCCACAAAGAAACAGCGTTCAGACCGCAGCAAATCTAAACGATCAGCACCACCCAACATCAACCCCCAAGACCAGGCCCTAGCAGACGCTCTCCATTCCCTCCTCCTCTCCCTCTCCCACCTCATATGCCGCCTCTCTCCCATCCTCTCTCCTTTACTCCATCGCCTGACTCTAGTCCTGACCTACCAGGACCCATTCACATCTCTCCTGGTCCTAGGCGTCTTTGTCGCCATCGTCGGTGTCGGACGAGAGATTTGGATCCATGGACCGTTCTGGGGTGTCCTCGGATACTTGGGCTACGCTTACGCTCGTCGCCTTCGTTCTCACAATCCCCCGCCTGATCCAAAACCCATCACTCCCGACCTCGCCATGACCATCCAAACCCTGACTTCCCTAACATCCACCCTCCACATCCACCTCTCATCCCTCTACGCCCTCTACACCCTCCTCTCCTTTTCCCGCCCCTCCGAATCCGCTTCTACGGCTCTCTTTCGCCTCATCTTTCTCATGTACATGCTCTGGATCGCCGCCCTCTACACTCTGGGCTTCAAGGCGGTCGTCATTTTATCAGCTACACTCGGCATGGGATGGGGCTCGGAAATGGGACAGCTCCTGTTTGAGGCTTTCCGAGATTGGGCTCCGGTTTGGATGGAGCGGTTGGGCGTTCAGGTCGATTGGTTTGAGGAGGGTACGAGTTCGGCTACTCTTTTCATGGTGGATGAGGACACTCGTTCAAGGGCATTAGGCATTGCCACTGCGGCGTTGTCTACCACCCGCACCACCACCACCACCACCAGCAAACCTAAATCTAAAAAGAAGAAATCCTCTTCAGACAAGCCCAAGAAACAATCCATTCCCAAGGAACCAACTCGAGATATACCAGCAGTCATCCCAGTCTCAACCCCAGAAAACCTCATCCGCCCTGACACCATCGTCGCCTCACCCGCCTCAGACAACAACAATGACACAATACCCAAAAAAGAAGAAATCCCACCCCATCCACCCCGCAACACCAGTCTCAACAATGTCGTAAAATACCTCAGCGGCCCACCCCCGCAAATCTCCCTACCCCCACCTCCCTCCGCAACCCCGGACGCCCATTTCCCGTCTTTCCCGGATGAAAGTAACGTCACGGTCGACATGAACCCCGAATGGACTTACCCCGATATGCACGACGACGAGTTTCGGCGGGATTTGGCGGGTAGTTTACTTCGTCCTTCCAAACCTGACCAACAACAACAACAACAACAACTGATGATGGGAAGCAACGACTCGACATTGACGATTGACAAATTAGCCGATTTGATTTCGGTCGCCCGAAACTCGGATTTAAGGTGTTCGTCGGGCGAATCTACGATTTCGTACGGGAGTTTACGCCGCGAACATGAGCGGACTGAAATGCAGAAAGAGATTCAGGACGGGAGTCGGGATCCTGACGAGGGGATGATGACGTATTCTCTCCAAGAACCCCAGGATGTTATCCCTATGGGAGTCCACCAACATGCTTTATTGCTGAAGAGTAGTTTGGAAGAGGATCCGACGGGGACGTTGACGAGGTATTATGCTGAGCCTGAGGAGGTTGTGGTGTTACCACCCACTACTACTACCGAGGAGGAGGAAATACCACAAACATACCCTGTCATGACTGACTTGGAAGAAGAAGATTATGATCCAGCCCATCACTTATCCTACCAACAACACTCCCAATTCCAACAAGACCAAGATCAAGACCCCTTCCCCTTTCCCATCAACGATCCAGTGCCGTATCAACAACAACAACCACCCCTTCAACAACAACACCACCGCAGACACACATTCACATCCTCACCCCGCTCCTCTCTCCGCGGCTCAAACCGTAAATCCCTGCCGCTAACCCTCCGCTTCACGACCTACGAAAACCAACGGTGGTTTGTAGGGTTGGGATGGGTTCCCCACCTCTTGCCAGGCGAACGGCCCTCGTATTCGGATGAAACGGGGACGACAGCTTTACCCAAGGAATCCTTCAAAATCCCGAATTTCCGGGGAGATGAACTTAAAAACTTGAGTTTATCCAAAGGGGAGAGTCCACTTCTGGGCGTATCAGAAGAAATCACGGCCCTCGGATTAGATTCTCACCATCAGGCTCGCGTCCACTGGGACTGGGACTCGGAATGGACCGTTTTGCCCGTTCTCACGGGGGACCCGGAGACTTTAACCGACGCCCAGGGATGGCAATACGGGGACAATTTTTGGTCCAACTATAAAAACCGCAAAACCCTTAAACGCGTCACTCGCCGGCGGAAATGGGTCCGGAGCGCCCGACTCTACGATGGTGGACGTAAACGCTCTGTAACATTTGGAGACCGGGTCGTGGTGTTTCGGCCTACGGATGATAAGGCGTTTATTGAGTTGAGTAGTGAAGATGATGATGAAGAAGTGGTGGTACGGCAACCACTTATGATGGAAGGGGAGATGGAGGAGGAACGGGAATGGGAGGAGGAACAGGCACGGTTATATCAGAATTTATATGCCCCGAGAAACCCCTATGGACGACCGGTTTCTGCTACGTCTTAGATTAGGATTTTCATATATGATATACATAGTTTTTTTTTGTTCTTTGCAATTTCAAGTTTTTTTGAATATTGTTTTATATATATACCGCCGGGCGGAAACATGTTTGGATTAACATATCTGGACAAAGAAAACATCTTTTGAACTTTTTGATTTTTTTTTGTCACTGTATTCCACTTTTGGCAGTATTGGAGTATATAGTCGAATCCGGGCAGAGTTCATCAGTCAAAGCAAACTCGTTGATGATGAATATTCCAATTGGAGATGATCATGTATTCATGTTTTTTCCGAATCATAATGTATGGTTCTCTGTTTCATGGATTCGATGGAGTTGGCGAGAAGAAGCTTGTGGAATGTTTTGTTGGTGCCCGTTCCCGCATTAGTGAATATAGGCTGTCTCCATCTCTGGTTGGATCTTTTTTTTTTTTGGCTGTCAGAATATGCGACAAGGGGGGTGATCGCGATAGTAACAAGGGCGTATAGTCTTTAGGGTCTGCATATATCTCCCCACGGTACAAACCAACCCCCTTCTCTTTCCAAAACCCGCAGTCCATCTTGAACTTCCATAGATCTTGTTGTCTAAAGCCACTCATGTCACCGCTTGTGCGAAAGCGTGTGAAAATAATCAGCATGTCGTAAGTACTGTACTCTCACTAAATCACCGTTTTGTGCTGATTGCTATAGCGGGCAGGGCTGTTGGCAAGTATATATGTTACTGCCAACACCCCAGCTATCAGAGTCATTTTACACACAAGGAAATACCTTCAGACCCCCAGATCTACTATAGGGATCTGGTCACTCAATGCTACCTACTGGTGGGGAAACTATTGCCGATGACGGTGACGATAAAGTATACACATACATAGACAAAAGTCCTTTTTGGCCCCTCTTCTTCCAGCAGCTGTCAGGAAACAAGAGACAATTTTTTTTTCCGGGTTTTGGTACGGGGGGACATCCCGTTTTTGTCGTGGGAAAAAAAAGACTATTTTACTCCTGTTCCCCAAGTATATATTTCTCATTCTCTCTTGGCTTTGCCCGTTAAATAAATAGGAAAATCGGGCTAAAAAACAAAGAGCTGGACATTTGCGCAGCTACTTTCTCACGTTATACACAAACCCTCCCCAAGACTTATTTACTTAGGGTGTATACGTTGGTTGCTGTATCACATCTATGCAGGGCAATAACTGATACGGGGGGAAATAGTGATGTCTTCAAGGACATATCAGTATCACTTTTCATTCATGTGGTTTCGATGTAGCAGAGTATGAAGTATACAGCTATATAGTGCACACACATCCATATATGCTAATTATAAAAGAATTGTGTACAAGGGAAATGCGGGGATGGGGAAAGTCTAACTTTTAATATGAGAGAGAGAGAAAGTAACAGGAAAGAGTGGCTAATACAAAATTAAGAAAGGGAACCGTTTTTTTTCGCATTTGTAGTTGGGGTATGAAGGACGGGGATCAA